AGGGGGGTTAAATTTTTTATAAATACCAAAATTTTCTCCTAAAAAAATCACACTCAACTCAATCCATCTCTCATTCTCTCAAATCTCAATCTCTCAATCCATCATTCATTCATTCAATCATTCTTAACAATCTCTCAAATCTCAAATCTCAAATTTTAATTTCTCAATCTTAATATCTTATTATCTCTTTTATACATTCTTTTTTAAATATATTATATTTTAATATATAAAATTTCGAGATTATTTGAAATTTTCGAAATCTAATATTTCTTTAATATAAAAGAAATATAATTTATATTTTAAATATATTCTCTATTTTTTTGAAATTTTCGAAATTTTAATATATAAAATTTCGAATTTTTTTAAATTATCGAAATTTAATATATTATTTTTCTATATCAAAAAATATATATATTAAAATGTCGAGAGAGTCCGGTAGATGTTCCGTGGATATGGGCGCCGTGAATCGAAGTTTGAGGAGAGGCAAAGCTAAAGCCACCTCCGACGGTTCGACCTCACGCGGTTCTTGAGGAAGACACTCCGTCTCTTCGTTTCCTACTGTCCCAGATCATTTAATCGGGGACGCTATGACGGATGAAGAATTCAACCAGATTTATTCTGGTAGAGAATCTCTCCACTCTTGATAGTCTATTCGAGGATGTTGATGAAGCAGGACTGGATAATCTTGACGGGGACGATGAGCCTACACCGCAAAGCAACGACGTCGACGTGGAGGCGGGTGAGCCCGAGACCTCTCGAGGTCCGGACAAAGGTAAAAAAAAATATAAATCAGATTTATTTGTTTATCATTTTGACAAAGACACAAAAGATGGCATAGTTTATGGAACTTGTAAACATTGCGGGACCGTCATAAAAATGGGAGTTTCTGGCGGTTATGGCAGTCCGGAAAAATACCTAAGGTCGAGGCATCTCGTGGAGTACGCCAAATACGAGGCCAAAAAAAAGGGACGACAAGAAGTGCAAACCCAAATTTCTCGGTTTGCTAACAGAGGTAAGGGCGGCCTTTTTGCTTATAGCGACGAGCAAAATAAGCAAAAAAGTTTTTTCATTTGGTTTTGATAATGCTACTAATAATACTGCTGCTATTCCTAGACTTAGAGAAATTTGCCCACCGTCTACGACTATGGGTAGATTTCTACATCAACGGTGTGCCTGTCATGTTTTAAATTTATGTGTTCAACAGGGACTAGAAGCTATGGGCGGAGTTTTGACAAATATTAAACAAGGAATTAAAAAAATTTGGGGGGCTCGTCTTATTTCGAGGTCCTGGAAGATGTTCTGTAAGTCTAAGGGTAAAAAAGAAATAAGTTTTGCCAGAGATATCAACATTAGATGGAATAGTACTTACAAATTGATTGCACAGATCCTAAGATATAAAGAGGAACTTGCTGAATTTTTTAGGGATAAACTTCGTATAATCATTAATCCTTTTGAATTTGTTATTGTTGAAAAATTGAATGCCGTATTAGAAGTTTTTAATAACACAACTCTTACTTTTTCCCATGTTTACCAACCAACTACAAATACATTTTTTAAAGAGTGCATTACAATCGCAACATGTTTTCGTGAAAGTATAGATGATCCAGATTTGTACCCTTATGTTTCTCCTATGAGAGATAAATGGTATACTTATTATTTGTACATTCCTGATATTTATAAAATAGGTATTATTTGTGATCCACGATTTAAGATTGAAAATTTTAAAATTCTAATTGAGTATTACTACAATTGTTTTTTAGATACAAATAGTTATTACTACAGCTATTTAGTAGAATGGAAAAATGAAAGAGATAATGCTATAACTCTTTTTGAGGATTTGTTTAAGGAATATCAAGGGTTATACGGTACTGTACAAGAAGAAACAGCACCACCTCCGCCCCCGAAATCAAAAAAAGGTTTTGCCGGAATAGTCGGTGGCCTTCTTGCAAAGAAAGGGAAGCGTG